CCTGATTCCACGAGCGCTTTTTGTCAGCGAAATGCGAAATATTTCGCCTGTTTCTTTTGAATTGCGATCACTCGAATAAATTATTTCTACTTGATTGCTCACAATTCAAAAGAAACAGGCGAAATATTTCGCATTTCGCTGACAAAAAGCGCTCGTGGAATCGGGGCTTTACATTCCCATGGGTGGAATGTTGACAATCACTTCCGTTCTCATCTTTACCGTCTAAGGCACGCTTGGTGAAAATAGTGGTGCGATGAGTTGAGACATGAACTGCCCCATCGAGGCGATCTAAACATACTTGACCACAAACAGTCCAACAGATAGATAATTTTTGAGCCCACGGAGCGCCTCTCGGACCATTTCTGAACTCTCTAACTTTCAGAAGCTCTGGGGCGTCGCGTCCAATCAGGATGGATATTTCCGCCTTTGAGTCGAACGGTGGGATTTCTTTGGCGAGTTCTTGAAGGTGGGGAAATCGCGATACCAATTCAGGTGTTGGAATTTCCCTTTTATCTTGTGGAATGTGGTTACACTCGATCAAAGTGGGCAACTTCGACGATTTACCATCCACCGACGTTGCTATCACTCCAGATACACGGCGTCCGTATTTCACCTCTTTGGAAACACTGCAGGTAGATAAGAAATATTTTTCTTTTTTACTGTTAATACCCAGTTTATTTGCCAAATCAGGAGTAATCATCGAAGAGTTACTTTGTTCGTCCACTAACGCATATACTCTATGGATCTGATCGGGTTTGTCTTGAAGAGAAATGTCCATGAGAACAATTTTGCTGCATGAGAGTCCACCCCTGTTGCTATCGCACTGTGTCCTCTTCGAACGGGTTTCCGAAACTGGATTTCTTCCTTTCGTTTCTTTGGACATCCTTAATCACAACATTTGGATGATTTTTTATTCTTGCCTGCCTTTCCACCAGAGTAGCAAAGATATGAAAGGTTGGGTAAGCATCATAGTTCTCCAAAGCGTAGTCCACGACCTGCTTTTCTCATTTGTTTCGGAGAGATGCTGGTAATTTTCGAAGGATTGGCTGAATAACATTCGCGTAGTTTAAACATCTCAAACCAGGCAACTGTCCTATCTGATAGTCTACGTCAGCACACAAATCGGCAAACTCCTGCAGTTTCTTCTTGTTTTTATCCTCGAATTTAGCTGCATCTCACAACCGTCCCAATAAGGCGTGTGAAATCGCGGCTGAGTTGCCAAAACGTCTCTCGAGCTCCACCCATACTTCTTTCAGCAGCTTATGTGGATTGTTAATTTTAATTTAATTTAATTTATTAGCTTTGCCTTGTAGATAACTATATTACAATTAATGGCAGGGAGTTCGTAACAGCACTTAGCCAATTACTACGGCCCCGTTTGTTGTGTTGACGTTTTCGAAAGTTATCGACCAGGTTCTGTGGTGCCCCTTTCGTATACTTATGCAGGTAATTTATCTCTTGTTCCGGTGAAATATCAGCAACACGGATCATTGCCTCGAACGAATTCTTCCATGGGTGGAACATTGTTACGTCTCCACTAAAGGTATCAGGATGACACTTCGGTAAGCTTTGACGTACGAGACTAGGTGCCAGTTGTTGATTTGTAGCTGCGATAGCTTCCATACTTTGCTGCACCGGCAGTATTTCCGCTTCCCGTTCCGTTCCGTTTTTTCCCAAAAAATCGTCTTTGAGCTGTGGTACAATATAATTGTCTGCTGCTTTGCTCTTCCGACCAAATATCACGTCTCGATCTAGTTGGATTGTTTCGTCTTGTTGTGGCCCTTTCCGGTGTCGAATTGCTTCATGTCGTTGATCGTACACCCAAGCGCTAGTTCGTTCACTGTTGTTGAGTTTCCCATCTCCCTCAGATAATTCTACATCAGACTGGGCAACTGATTTTCCCTCTTCCTGCTGAATGGATTGTTCGATTGCAGTCAATTTAGCGTTCGCCACAGCTGTTAGTTTCTTTGCCTTGAGCACAGCGATTTCATGATCGTACCTCGCCTTTACTTCCGTCTTTCTCCGTTCTTCTAGACATATTGACCCCGACAGTAACTGTATGTTACAAATTCTTTTACCGCGTTTGGTCCCCAGATATTCAGTAAACTCAATGCTTGATCGTCATTAGCAGACTTTCAGTCACTGTCGCGTCCAGAGAACGCAGTGTCAACCAAACGAATACACAGTTTAAATTGAATTAATATAAATGATACATTCTTGCTTAATATTAAGCTACACTTGATCCTGTATATTCCTGTATATCCGTCGGTGAAAACTATAAATCAATAATACGCTACACTAAGCACACAGTTTATAAATTCGTGCACGATAAGCTTGTAAATATAATATGAAATAAATTAACTGACTTACGTCTATAACTCTATGAGATCGAAGTCCTTCAAATTCCCCATAAATGATTTCCGTTGAAGTCTTGTAGAGTGTTCCCCGTGCTTTAATTTTTCCCACCCCAAAATCCCAAGATCTGGCCTATTTATCTACTCTAGTAGATCGATTAATTATGTATGTATTTAGTCAAGCATGCATTCTACATATTAGCATAACTTCACACTATCGACAAAGTAGGTTCACGACCCGTAAACTCCTTTTCACGAACCGTACGGTTCGTACGGTCCGTAAAGCCATTTTACAGTTCGTACGGACCGTACGATCCGTACGGATCGACAAACGTTTATGCCCTGACTTAAACACAACATCGCTATCGACAAAGTAGGTTCACGATCCGTAAACTCATCTTCACGAACCGTACGGTTCGTACGGTACGAACCGTACGGTTCGTACGGTCCGTAAAGCCATTTCACAGTTCGTACGGACCGTACGATCCGTACGGATCGACAAACTTTCATACCCTGACTTAAACACAACATCGCTATCGACAAAGTAGGTTCACGATCCGTAAACTCATCTTCACGAACCGTACAGTTCGTACGGTCCGTAAAGCCATTTCACAGTTCGTACGGACCGTACGATCCGTACGGATCGACAAACTTTCATGCCCTGACTTAAACACACATCCCTATCGACAAAGTAGGTTCACGACCCGTAAACTCGTCCAGGGGCGCCGGAGCCACGGGGGCAGCGGGGGCAATTTCCCCGTTGCCCAAACAGTGAGGGGGCAGCACGGAAGCAACAGGTTGCCCTATTTTTAAGCAAAGTTTAAGCGATCTTTGCATAAATTTTAACCAGTTGTAGTAAAATTAATGCTAAATCAGGCAATATACATCCCTACTCAATTTAAACCAGCCAATGGCTGTTTGGACGATCATATCAAACTTGGTGTTAATAAAAAGTCTACTCATATTTCGCGTGTCATATTTCCAACTTTTGCAATACAAATTTGCCGCAAAATTTGATGTTTTTTCGTATGCGTTTCTTGTACTCTTACATTCGTGTTTAGGTAGCTCCAGTAATGGAAAGTATATGTTCTGGGGCATATTTTGAATGCACTTTCGTTTGAAAATAATTCTTATTTCGAAGGGCACTTTTTAAATATGCGCAAATTGTCAAGATCTATACAGAAGAAACGAGCCGCGCGCGCGGCTGTCGAAGAAAACTGGCTCTAGAACGTGCTGCGCAGGTCTATGCCTTAAGGTAGAGCCAGATTTTAAATTTTCGTAGAATTCTGCGTATTTTGATAGAGGGCAAAACATTGAAATGAATAGGCTGCAGCCGATGATATAGAAGGGGAATTTTTGACTCAGAGTCAATCTCTGCCTTCGTTTGTGCACTAATGTATCAGTCAAATCCAAGCGTGCCCATCCCCCCGGGCAAACCCCCGGGCTTTTGACAATTTTTGAAAATATGCAAGAAATTCCCGGGGAGGGAATAAAAAACACGTGAAAATGCCCGGCAGTAGGGCAAAAAATCATTAGCAAATCCCCCACCGCGGGGACAGCTGGACTGTTTCGCTAAGAAGAGCAGATTATCCAATTACCTGAAAATATAGAAGAGAATACTTTCTTCGATCGGCCAAGTATATCGCCCAAGTATTTCGTCTGCGTTGCAGGCTACCAAGCATTGTGCGTCATACTCTAGCGCGTTTTCGTCATGCTCTAGCAAGTTTGGCGTGGTTCGAATTTTAGCATTTTACATTTGACAACTTGACTGGTTTTATACATCATGGTATTTTGGGCACGTATAAAGTAATCCAAAGAATTTTAAATGCCCCGCCCCCGGGCAAAAGTTTGAGTTCAAATGCCCAAACCCCGGGAGGTGCTTTATAGGAAAATGCCCCGGGGTAGCGCGGGGGGATGGGCACGCTTGGATTTGACTGTGCATAAATAAGCAAGTGAGTTTGTGGATTTTATTTATTTTTTTTATTTATGTACTCGTTTGTACAGTAGTCTTTATTAATTGAGGTTTTGGTGAAATTCTGTTTATTTATGAGTATCTTTCTAGATCTGATTTATATAACCGTGCAGTTTCTTGATTTACAAATTGTCAACAGTGAGTACAAGCGACAAGAACGTCAAACGTATGCGTCTTAGTTAGCCATTATTGTCAATAACATCCTTTTGGAGAGTGGCATACGAGGTGTCACGCTTAGCAGACGCTTAGTTCAAGCATTCAAGACAAAGATCATTTCTCTTCACGCTGCGTTCAAACGTGCTAAAGGTGGAAACCCAGTCAAATGGCTTTCAAATACATGGCAGAATGACTCATGCAGTGTAACTATATACTATAATGAACTTGAAACGGATAAGCTGGATTTGTTAAGATTATTATCCTTTGCGGACTTTTTGGAGCATTTAGACGAAGGCCTAGGAGTGTAGTCATTGTACTCTTCGGCAAAACGTATAAGTTCGCTTAGGTCGAT